CGTATTTCCGCACATTTGTGTTACTAGAGTTTGAGTTTGCAACCCCTAATGGAGACCAGAGCCTCCAATTTCTACACCAGCAGCCTAGGATGTTAGAGTGAGTTGCCCAGGACATAGCCGAGTCTGCAGTCAGGGTCTCCTGGGACCCAGTTCTGATTGAAAACATCTCTCATGGACATTTACAAACACTGCTAACCCCATCGCTCCCAGGGCCGTGAGCTGGGGTCACCTGGGAGCATCTGAATGTTGCTGACATCGGGCTGTGTTTGTGGAACTCCTGGACGGGCAGGGAGATGCCCAGTAGGCTGGGCGCAGCGGGAGCCCCTGACCCCGGGCCCTGTTCCCACGGGGAGCGGAAGTCCCAGCGGTTGAGGTGAGAACGTGAGGCTGCCCTGGGTGGGCAGAGGCAGCCACAGGCAGCTGCAGTAGGCTGGTGCCGGGCCCAGATGCACTCTCTTCACCCTTTCTGCAAAAATTGCTGCCATGTGCAGAAATATAGAAACGTGCAAAATCTGAAAGCCAGCACAGGAGTCGGCCCCCACCCTCCCGTGTTTGCAGGCGGCCCTCGTGACTCAGCCCCAGCCCAACCATGCACATCTTTCAGGCAACTCGGCGTTAAAGAGAGAGAGAGAGAGAGAGAGAGAGAGAGAGAGGAGAGAGGTGTTTTTGATCCCCAGACGGCTGTGGTTTGAGCAGGAGAGGAGGGGGAGGGGCCTTGAGGCTCTGGGTCTTGCTCTAGACCTTGGCCAGCAGGTGGGTCTCGCCTCGGGGAGGACGGGCGGCGGGGGGGTGGGGGGGTGCGGGGGGGTGCTGCGGTGCAGGCTGGTGGCCAAGCTGCAAAGAAGCAAAGCTCCCACGGTGGTCTTCCTGGTCTGCCGTCCTCCTCTGTGTCCTCATTCTGCCAGCAACCCCTCTCCTCTTGCCCGGACAGAGCCCCAGCCCCCAGCCCCGGCGGTGTCCTGTCTGCTGTCTTTGTCCTCTGGGGCCTCTCCTGTCCCAGGGATGGCCCAGGAGAGTAGGGATGCAGCCACTGCGTCCCCAATACCTCGGGGCAAGTTTCCTCTGCAGCCTTCCTGTGGTTGTTATGCAGCCTAGGGGAGGAGGGAGCGGGGAGACACCTGTGCCCACAGGGTGCCACCCTGCTCCCATGGCTCCCACTGGCACTCCTTTTCTGACAACAAAGGCACCCACCCCCTCATCAGCATCTGAGAGGCAGGGCTAAGTCATGGCCCTCAGACCAGAGTGAATCACGAGAGACTGAGAGGTTGGCAGGCGGCTCCTTACCTGGGTCCCCCATAAGGGACAGCATAGTGATTCAGAACGTAGCACTCGCCCCCCCCTCCCCCGAGCTCACAGAGATGGTCCTGTTCTCCATCCAGAAGTCCAATTCCAAGGCTAGGCTCCCGATGTTGTCCCTGGGGTGGAGCCAGGCACCGCGGCAGCCCAGGCACGGCCCCTCAGTCCCACCCTGGGAGGTCCCAGGAGGGCGGCCTGCGGGGCAGCAGGGGGGCCGGGGGGCCCACCGGAGGAAGGCGGTGTCGGTGTGGGTCACGTAGCGGTCCATCGTGAGAGTCAGGAGGGGGGGCTGGCTCGGCTGCAGGTAATACACGCGCGCCCGTTGGGGACCTGTCTGTAGCTGCCAGGAAGGACGCGGGCTGAGGTGCGAAGGCCAAGGCCAATCCGGCGCCAAGCCCTTGGCACCCCCTTCTCCGCCCCAGCCTTGAGGGGCCCGCCCCCCCTTACATCTGCACCAGGTCCAGGAAGTTGTGCAGCATGCCCTTCACCATCCCGGGCATCTCAGAGAGGAGCAGCCCCTCCATCACCCAGTAGGAGTCCCTGGGGAAACGGACAGCTCACGCACCGGCCTGGGCACCCGGGCCAGTCAGGGTGCCCCCCTCTGCCCGGGTAGCCCGCTGGCCCCGGGCTCCCCGACTCCCACCCTGCAGCCTCGGCCGCTCACCAGCAGTAGAACTCCACCAGGCGCCCGCCAGGCACGCTGAAGGGGTGTGCCGAGTAGATCAGAGAGAACTGCCCCGGCTGGCTGAGGACCTCTGGCCTCACCTGCAGTCGGGACGGAGGGCACAGGGAGCCCACGGGCCCCGCCGTGTGGAGGCCCTGGCGGCCGGTGCAGGAGTTCTGGCTCTGCGGCTGGTCAGCCACGTGGCTTCGGTCAAGGCCGGAGCTGCCGCAAGCCAGGTCTGCTCGGCCCCACAGGCCGGCCTCTGGAGTCCCTGCTAACTCAGCCCGGCCCTGGCAGGGGCTCACCAAGCGGCGGCCAGTATCAGGACCAGGTAGGGGGACCATTTCCTCCACTCCCCTTCCCCCATCTCTGCTGCCACCGCCCAGCCAGGCCCAGAGACCCAGGGTGCCCATTCTCTGGCCCAGGTGCGGAGTGTGAAAATTAATGAAAGGAAACCTCATTTAGAATGGAGCCGGAGATGGGGCGCCTGGGTGGCTCAGTTGGTTGAGTGACTGCCTTCGGCTCAGGTCATGATCCTGGAGTCCCGGGATCGAGTCCCGCATCAGGCTCCCTGCTCGGCAGGGAGTCTGCTTCTCCCTCTGACCCTCCCCCCTCTCATGTGCTCTCTCTCTCTCATTCTCTCTGCCTCAGATAAATATATAAAAGCTTTAAAAAAAAAAAAAAAAGAATGGAGCCGGAGGCCGGCAGGTGAAGCTCTCCGGCCCCACCACTCTTCGTCAGTTGCAGACCCAAGCTTGCAGGTGGAGCTATCTTACTAGCCCAGCAAGAGGGGAAGGTTTCTTCCGCCCCAGCAACAGCCCAGCCAATGAGGGGCAGCCACAGCTCAGCCAATGAAAAGCTACAGTACTCAGACCTCCCAGTTCACTCCAATGGACTTTTTGTTTCTAACAGCCTTCCCAACATCCCCCATTCCTCCAAGAAAGAGCGCAACTCGCCTGCGTTGTGCTGACTTGCTCACGGTTGTCCTGTACCTTTTTCGTGCTGGATTGCAGTTCTCTGCTCTTCCTAAATTAACTCGTTTTTGTTGGCGAAATACCTGGCAGTTTTATTTGTAGGATTATTTTTAACCCTAAACCGTTTCCCCAGTGAGGCAGACGGACATGATCGTGGTGTCGGGAGCGCAACTGTAGGACCACAGTGGGGCTTGCTGTGCGCCTCTGCCAGGTATTTTCTCCGGTCATTGTCTCCTGGTTCTGAACCAGTGAGTGTGGTGTCAGAGGGAGAGGGGTCAGCTGTCAGTTATTTTGAGGGGAGTAGTGGAACAGAGATTGGCTTTGTTCCTGTGGGGCTGGCTGGGTGAGGAAGCGGCCCAAGCTAGGAAGGAGCCTGGAGCACCACTCTGTGCCAGCAGGTGCCAGGGCCCTGAGGCCTGGCTGGGAGGACAGATGCTGTGCAGCCTTGGGCAAACCACTGCCCTCTCTGAGCCTCAGACAAAGGGCGGAAGTGTCTAACAGACTGCTGACCACAGGTCACAATCAGCAGGGGCAGTTATTCCCAAGCAGAGGCTTGGCCCCATTAGCTCAGGGAACACAGAGCCCCGCTGGGGAGTGAACAGTTACCAGTGGTGTAAGACGCAGGTCTGAGTAGCCTGGTGGTGGCTGGACAGGCTAGGTTTGCCTGGGGAGAGGCTACTGAGGGCTTCAGGGAAGAGGCGAAGAATTAGAAATACTTTCCTCTCCTAATCCCCCTGCCCCCACGCCCCTGAATTTCTTTCTAAAGAGCTGCAGTAGGATACAGGGTTGGGGCCTTCTGTCTAAACCTAGTTTCACCCCAGAGTATGCCTCCAAAGCCATGAATTACTGAAATTTGCAGAAATAGGGCTGGGCTTTTTTTTTTTTTTTTTTTAAGATTTTTTATTTATTTATTTGAGAGAGAGAGCACATGAGAGGGGGAAGGGTCAGAGGGAGAAGCAGACTCCCTGCCGAGCAGGGAGCCCGATGCGGGACCCGATCCAGGGACTCCAGGATCATGACCTGAGCCGAAGGCAGTGGCTTAACCAACTGAGCCACCCAGGCGCCCCTGTGCTGGGCTGTTTTTGAAGGCTACCTATGAAATGAGGAGAAAGGTGCCTGATTTGACTATGACCTTGAACATGGAAGGACTTGGGATTTGTACCCATTCAGCCACACCTCTTTTGGGGACAGCTGCTACTCCTGGGTGTCGTGGATAAGGCTCTGGAATATCTGGAGGTGAGGGGGGCAGCAGAGCAGGCTGGTATACTGGGGGCAGGACCACCTGCTCTCTCCCTGAGTCTGAACTAGGGACCTCTGGCAAGTGGAGCCACCCCCTCCTGCCCCACCCCTGGGTCTGAGCCTGCGGGTCCCGCTGGAGCCACCAGGGGGCAACTGTGAGCCAAGAGGACAAAGCCCAGGAAGGGGGACATCTGGCTTGAGGAGGGCCCAGCCTCTTGGCTCCTCATCCAGCCCCCACCCACAGCCCTAGAAATGTCTGGAACCCTCTAGGACAGCCAGATCTTGACCTACGAGTACGGGATCCCGACCTCTCCCCAGAAAACAGGCCAGCAGTGGGGCTTGCCCAATGCCTGGGTCCCCCTGCAGGACCTGGTCATCAAAGGTAGGGAGTAGGGAGGTGGGGATGGGGCATATCCCAGGGCCTTTCCCCATTGCATCTGGAGGGTCGGCCTCCTGGTGCTGGGGAGGTGTGAACAAAGCACATAGGGTCTTTCTCTGGCTCTTCTGGTCTCTTGGCTTCCCACTCAGCAGACCTTTGATAGAGGGAACCAGCCCTCCTTTCTCCCTCCAAAGCCAGGCCCTGGGGAAGGAGCACATTGGCTTTTCATGTGGCTCACGATGGAGGTCTTAGGGCCCAGGCCTCTTTCCCTCCTTGAGGAGAGAAAGGCTCTGGCCATCCCAGGGGACCCAGGAGATTCAGTGTCCTGCCTGGGGTGGGGTCTAGGTCTGGCCAAGTCTCCTTCACCTCGGGCCCAGGAAGTGGCTTTCCAGCTGGCTCAGAATTGGATCCGAACCAGCTTTGAGGTCTCTACTCCCAAAAGTCAGCCATGTTTGAGGTGAGCTGCTCCTGAGCCCAGAGCCTCCTGGGCTCCTCCCCATGGTGAGCTGGGGGGATGCCAGGCTTTGCCAAGCCCAGGGACAGTGGTGATGCCCGGTGGCCGTTCTTGGGCACTGCAGGGGTCAGAGCTGCCGGCCAGAGCAGCTTCTCCCAAAGGGGCTCCCATCTCTTGCTCCCCCTGGGGGGCTGAGGTGGGGAGCCTGTCCTTTTGTTCCCAGTATGACATCAGCAGCGGTGGTCAGCCAGGTGGTGGAGGGGAGTATGAAGTTCAGGTGAGTGGGCCCACATCCTACTGGGAACTCCAGGGCTGGCTGTGTTGTCCCCACAACTGGCCATGACCTCCCCTGTCTGGGCCTCGGTTTCCTCCCATGTATGTGGGTCCCCAGGGAGGAGGCTGACTGGAGCTCCTTTGCACCCCTGGGGCTGGGCAGTTCTCGAGCCTCTGGGTGGGGATCTCACAGCCCCTAAAAGGATTTGGGGCCTTCCCCAGAGATCTTGTCCCACTGACCCTGTCTTTCTCCAGGAGGGCCTTGGCTGGACCAGTGGAGTGGTCCTGATGCTCCTGGACCGCTATGGTGACCGGCTGAGCTCGGGACCCAGACAGCTTTCCTGGAGACCCCTGCCTCACGGCTACCCTTCTGCTCAGCCTCCTGCCACAGTATGGGCCTCCCTGCCCCGTCTGCCTCATTAAACTTCTGCGTGAGTCCCTACCTTCGCCTGCTTCTTCATCTTCCATCCCCTACCCCCAGCCAGTCCTTGGAGTGGGGTCAGGGGAGGGACCTAGAAGTCATGGGTTGGGCCCTTGTCCCTCCTGGAACATCAGTAAGGGGGACGTCCTGTTTTGTGGGGACACAGTCCCATACCCCATGCAACCTGGCTTCCCAAACACATACTCCAAATGCTTTATTGTTCTGTTGAGATGCTTACAAATACTGAAAATCACCCAGACCCAGTGTCCCAGCTACGATGGGCCCCAGGTGCTGGGAAGGAGGGCAGGGAGGTGGGATCAAACACCGCCTCCCAAAAAAGTCCAAATTTGAACATACTAGTCTAGATCATCTTATGCCCCTGGGTACTTTGGAAAACAGTACAGGAATACTGGCACTTATTTTGTGAGCTTTGTGTGTGCAGAGAGGAAGGGAGCCCTGCCAAGACCACTGTCCTCCCAGGGTGAAAGTGTAACAGTTGACAGAATTGAAGGGATTGGGAGTTCTGTGTTAATAGTTGGAGCCTCCAGTGCCACTTTCATGGATAGAACATCTAGACAGAAGATCATAAAGGAAAGAGAAGACCACCATAAAACAATCAGACCTAATATATATAGAATTCCATACCCAGCAACAGGACATACTGTTTGTACATAAAGAATACATATTCTTTTCAAGTGCACATAGAACATTCTCCAGGATAGATCATATGTTAGGCCATAAAACAAGGCTCAGTAAATTTTAAAAGATTGAAATTATAGAAAGTATCTTCTCCAACCGTAATGGAGTGAAGCTAGTAATAAATAACAGAAGGAAAACTGGAAAATGTGGAAATTGACACACTTTTAAGCAACCAAAGAGTCAAAGAAGAAATCACAAAGAAGGGAAATTAGAAAATACTTACAGATGAATGAAAACAAGGAGACAACATACCAAAATTTATGGGATGCAGCAAAGGCAGTTCTCAGAGGGAAATTTACAGGAGCAAGTGTCTACATTACAAAAGATCTTAAATCAATAACCGTCTTTATACCTTGGGAAATTAGAGGAAAGCAAGCTAAACCCAAAGCTAGCAGAAGAGTAAAGAAAGATTGAGCATAAGGAAATAATATGGAGAATAGAAAAGAGAAAAACCAAAAGTTGTTTCTTTGGAAAAAAATCAAGAAAATAGATCTTTATTTTTAAATTTCTCTTTTTAGATTTTATTTACTTATTTGACAGAAAGTACAAGCAGAGGGAGCAGCAGAGGGAAAGGGAGAAGCAGACTCTGCACTGAGCAGGGAGCGCAATCCGGGGCTCGATCCCAGGACCCTGAGATCATGACCTGAGTGGAAGGCAGACGCTTAACTGAACCACCCAGGCACCCCAAGAAAATAGATCTTTAGCTATGGAAAAAAATTGACAAAGGCAAAAGAAGGTACAAATAACTAAAATCAGAAATGAAAATGGTGGGGCGCCTGGGTGGCTCAGTCATTAAGCGTCTGCCTTCCACTCAGGTCACGATCCCGGGGTCCTGGGATCAAGCCCCACATCGGGCTCCCTGCTCAGCGGGAAGCCTGCTTCTGCCTCTCCCACTCCTCCTGCTTGTGTTCCTGTTCTCTCTCTCTCTCTGTCAGATAAATAAAATCTTTGAAAGAAAGAAAGAGAAAGAAAAAGAAAGGAAGAAAGAAAATGGAGACACTACTACGGACCTTACAAAAATAGAGAAAACTGAGAACATTGGATAACCACTACAAAATGCACAAATTCCTAGGAATGCACAAATTATCCAAACTGATGCAAGAAGAAATAGAAAATCTCAACAGATTTATAACGAGATTATAATAAAAAACCACCCAACAATGAAAACTCCACGTGATGGTTAATTTTATATATCAGCTTGGCTAGGCCAAGGTAACACAATTTTAAAAAAAAATTTTTTTTTTTAAGATTTTATTTATTTATTTGACGGAGACAGCGAGAGTCAGAGGAGGAGTGTTCTTTTATAGAGGAAAGAAGGAAGTTGAGAGGGGCAGTTTGGAGTGAAACTCCATTCCAAACAGAGCAAGAATTTGTGGTTGTAGTGACTTTTTATTGGCTGAGCTGTGGTGGTTCTCATTGGCTGGGTTGCTGGGTAAAGAGAAAAACCTTTCCTTCTGCTGGGATATGGAAAATTAGCTTTGAAGAGTGGTACCTCTGTGAGCATGCCTCCTTCAGGACTTCCCAACTATATTTTGAAACGAGATTTTCCTTTATTCATTTCATACCCTCCATATTGTGAGTGGACCTCATCCGATCAGTGGAAGTCCTTAACAGAAAAACACTGACCTCCCTAGAAGACGAGGGAATTCTGCCCAACAGACTGCCTTTAGACCTCTCTGGGGCTCCAGCCTGCTGACCTAGTTTGCAGATTTTGGACTTGCGAACCTCCACAATCACATAAGCAAAAATTTAAAGATAACTCTCAGTCTCTGTCTCCACACACACTAATTCTATTATATCTGTTTCTCTGGAGAATCCTAATACAGTCCAAGACCAACATCTTCATTGGCCAACTCTACCACACGTCTAAAGAAGAGTCAAAGGGGCGCCTGGGTGGCTCAGTTGGTTAAGCATCCTCGGCTCAGTGTCTTGGGATCAAGCCTTCAGTGGGGAGCCTGCTTCTCCCTCTCACTCTGCCTCTCCCCTCCACTTGTTCTCTTTCTCAAATAAATAAAATAAAAAATGATAAAAATAGAGTTAACACCAATCCTTTTCAAACTCTTCCAAAATAGGATGAAACACTTCCTAACACCTCCTATGAAGCCAACAATACCTGATGCTTATGCTATATAAAGATCTCACAAGAAAATTACAGTCCGTTATCTTTTATGTATGTGATGCAAAAATCCTCAACAAAATACTAGCAAACCAAATCCAATGGCATAGTAAAAGAGTTACACACCATGCAAGTGAGATTTATCCTAAGAATGCAAGGATGGCTCAACATAAGAAAATCAGTGTAATGCACTGCATTAATAGAACAAAGGAAAAAAATCCTACATGATTATTGATGCAGAAAAGGTATTTGACTAAACCCAGCACTTCCATGACAAAAACATTCTAAAAACTAGCAATAAAAGGGAAGTTCTTCAGAGCAATTTAGGGAATTTATGAAAAACTCACATGTAGTATCACAATGGTGAAAGACTGGAAGCTTTCTCTTTAAAATTAGGAATGAGACAAGGATGTCTACACCGTACCAGAAGTTCTAGCTGAAGCAACAGGACCAAAAAAAAAAAAAAAAAAAGAAAAGGTCAAATTGGAAAGGAAGAATTTATCTATTCACAGATGACATGATTCTATATGTAGAAAATCCCAAAAGATCCACAGGAAAGCTGGGTCTGATAAATAGATTCAGGAAAGCTGCAGGCAGAAGATTAATACTCAAAAATCAGTTGCATTCCTATATACCTGCCAAGAACAATCTGAAAAGGAAATTTAAGAAGCCATCACATGTGCAAACATCTAATAAATAAAATACCTAGGAATAAACTTATCCAAGGAGATGAAAGACTTCTACACTGAATACTGCAAAAGTCACAGAAGGACACAAATTGTGTGATTCCACTTACATGAAGTATCAAGACTAGGTAAATTCATAGACCTGGAAGGTGGAATAGTGGTTTCCAGGGGCCATGGGGAGAGAGGACTGAGGACTTACTGCTTGATGTTATAGGATGTATCTTTAGGATGGTAAAAGTTTTGATGGGGTGCCTGGGTGCTGCAGTCAGTTAAGCATCCATCTGACTCTTGCTTTCAGCTCAGGTTGTGATCTCAGGGTAGTGAGATTGAGCCCCTCATCAGGCTTCGTTCTCAGTAGAGCCTTCTTAGGATTCTCTCTTCTTCTCCCTCTGCCCCTCCCATTTGTGTACGTGCACTCCCCCCCAAAAAGTCTTTTTTTTTTTTTTAAGATTATTTATTTATTGACAGCAAGAGCAGACACACAAGCAGGGGCAGTGGGAGAGGGAGAAGCAGACTTCCCCCTGAGCAGGGAGCCCGATGCGGGGCTCGATCCCAGGACCCTGGGATCATGACCCAAGCGGAAGGCAGACGCTTAATGACTGAGCTACACAGGCGCCCCTAAAATAAATCTTTTTAAAAAACATTTTGAAAATAAATAGTGATAGTTGGGAAATACTATGAATATAATGTAAATTGAATTCTGTAATTTAAAATGGATGAAATGGCAGATTTTATATGATATCTATTTAACCACAAGAAACATTTTTAAAAAAAGAAGGAAGGATGCTCATGGATCAAAAGAACAAATATTGTTAAAATGTCTATGTAACCAAGAGCAATCTACACATTCAGTGCAATCCCTATCAAAATACCATCAACAGTTTTCACAGAGCTGGAACAAATAATCCTAAAATTTGTATGGAACCAGAAAAGACCCTGAGTAGCCAGAGGAATGTTGAAAAAGAAAAGCAAAGCTGGTGGCATCACAATTCTGGACTTCCAGCTCTATTACAAAGTTGTAATCATCGAGACAGTATGGTATTGGCATAAAACAAACACATAGATCAATGGAATAGAATAGAAACCCCAGAAATGAACCCTCAACTCTATGGTCAATTAATCTTTGACAAAGCAGGAAAGAAAATGCAATGGAAAAAAAGTCTCTTCAACCAGTGGTATTGGGAGGTTTGGAAAGCCACATGCAGAAGAATGAAACTGGACCATTTCCTTACATCCCACACAAAAATAGACTCAAAATGGATGAAAGACCTAAATGTGAGACAGGAATCCATCAGAATCCTAGAGGAGAACACAGGCAGCAACCTCTTTGACCTTGGCCGCAGCAACTTCTTGGTAGACACGTCTCCAAGGCAAGGGAAACAAAAGTAAAAATGAACTAGTGGGACTTCATCAAGATAAAAAGCTTTTACACAGCAAAGGAAACAGTCGACAAAACCAAAAGACAACC